GCCTCTGAACTGCCATATATGTACTGCTCTGTTATGGTCGATAGGATTTTGCTGATCTGTGCTTTGTGTGCATTTCAAACACACGTTGAATGCATAGAAACGCCTGTCGATATGGCCCTAACTTACAAACTGACCTTGATGCACTATTTATTGGGAAATGGGATGGTAGTTGAGTTCATACAATCTAGGGGGGATGCAACTGAAGGAGTCAATAGTGGAGAAGGATCTGGTGTCCTGGTAGAGAATAGTCTTAAAGTGTAACTATTGACAATTTATTTTTTTATTTTGGATAGAGTAAGGAAGGGTTATAACCCCCAATTTTTTTGACATCTGCATCCCTTTGGGGATATTTCCCTTCACTTCCTGTCCCATAGCCAAAACAGAAAGTGAGAGGAAATACCTCCAGAATGCGGGAATCCTAGTGTGTCACTTGAACTACTGCCCTCTTTGGAAGATTTCTCCTCTATTAGTGTTCTGATGGCAACCCAAAATTTGGGATTTTCTTTTACTTTCAATGAGAACGGTAAACAGGGCAAATAGAGTGAATCTCCCTAACAGAGGTACAGACAGCAATAAAAACTGACAAGTGTTTTAATCCTTCTTAACTCTATCCAAAACTCAAAAGAAAAGTTTAGCTTTTAGTTATACTTTAAAAGAGAAGTACAGCCAAAGCTCCTGTGGCTGTACTTCTGTGGATCACAGGAGTGCAGTTCGTTCTGCACTCCTGTGACCCATTTTCAACCAACAGCGGGTTGAAGCCCACTGTCAGCTGATGTCACTCAGCCATTCCTGGCTGTGAGAAGATCACGACTTTAAAGTCGGGATCCACCTCAGAGACTGGAGCTGCACCTGGCTCAGTCTCTCAGCCAGGCGCTGAGAGCCTGAGACAGCTGCTCTCTCCCCCTCTACAGCCCAGTGCTCCAGTGAACAGTCATGGCTCTCTGCTCAGAGCTGCTGTGAGAACTCAATGATCAGCGGTCATGTGAACGCTGAGTTCTCACACTTAGAGCTGACAGATGCATTGGACCAATGCTGCATCCACCTAGATAAGTATACTTAGGGGGAAAAATGCAAACCCCTACTTCTTTTTTATTAGCATGCAAAACTAATCCACAGATCATAGAGCAAGAGAGAGATCCTTTCTATTTTAAAAACCTACACTGCATTGTGCTGCAACATAGATTTGCGCTACCCCACATTCCCCAAAATCTTGCTGGCAGGAGAATGATGTCACCCCCTATTCTACAGAACTCAGGAAAAGGTGAGCATATTATCTAATTATTCTTCCCCCCACCGGTTCTTTTTTTACACTTACAGTATATGCAGTGTTTAAAGAAGGGAGCCACACTGAACGAGCAGACCTTGTGTGTCTAGTGCAAAGTCCACAATAAGACTTGGGAGACCACTCCTATCCAAAGCATTAGTCAGCTCTTAACTTGAAAATTAAGCTTGCTTTAGGCACCAATTGACAAAAAAGATGTTGTAGAACTGGGGAGAGCACAGATAATTAAAATCTAAATGTAAAAAATTGTCTTGCCATCACAGGGATATCTCTTTACCTTCTGTCTCTTACAGGAAATCAGAAAAAAAACTCCCAAATGAGACCATATAAGCTTTAAAAGCTATACATCCACTTCTACCCATGGGGTGGCTAAATTAAAAGCACCAATTTGAAAATGGCTGTAAAATATTAACAGCACAATGAAAAATAAATAAAATTAAAACTAGGATCTGACTAGCTCTTATAGGCAAAAACCTTAATTGTCTATCCTACGATTTCAGACCAAGTTTGCTGTATAACTAGACTAGAAATGTAAAAGATGGCGAGATCCATAAGTCAGCTGTTTTTTTGCCAGTAAATTCCAAATACATGCAGTGAACAGGCTCTGATTTTGTCCACAATTTTAGTCTCATTGTACACACATGTATGCAAGCCATGACATGCAATCCATCTTTCAATAAGGAAATGTGGTAGAAACCTCTTAATCCCTCTCTGACAGACATTCGCCCTCATTGGTAATCACTACTTGATTCTCTCTGGAAAAAGGTGTTGGATTTCCCCCACTAAACCAGAATTGTGCATAATTACACCCGTGTGTGCTCTATATAAGCCTTTTCAGAGTGGAAGAGGTTAACACCCTGAAGATATATGGTTTGTGTTTTCAGTTACACCAGATTCTGACATTTTAATATAAGCAAAAAAAAATCTAAAAAGAAGAAAAATATATGGAAGGTTTTTTTTTTTCCCAATGACAGATCAACATGAAAAAATAAGCTGCGTTTTCTTCCAATGGTGTTTTTCTACATAACTATGTGCACTCCAGGCGTTTGTGGCCTGCTCTTTCCACTTCAGTAATGGTGAATGATCAAACTTTCCAGACAAAGATTTCCAGAGTTGGCTCAATACACTGGTTTATAATGAAATAACAGTTTAAGCAAACAGGGACACAACAGTAAAAAAAAATGCATTGCCATGGAAGAAAAAGAGTTATAGTTTCCCTTCAATGTGCAGATCCCAAAATCTCCATGTATTCAACAAACTAGGTAAATTATTATATATATATATTGATTGTACGTAAATGTGGTATGATAAATTACTCTTTTGTACCACCACCCCCTCCTTCTTAGATTGTAAGCTCCAAGGAGCAGGGCCCTCCTAACCCTCCAGTATTGAACTGTATCGTTGCTGTATTGTCTCCCTTCATATTGTAAAGCGCTGAGCAAACTGTTGGCACTTTATAAATCCTGTATAATAATAATAATGTAAGTACACTCCATGGAAATTTTTGATTTGTAACATGTGAATATTAAATTTGATTCAAATAGTGCTTACAGAAAAATGTAATATACTTGAACAAATTACACATAAAAATTGACATGGTGTATTCAGTGATCTTACTCAAAATGCAGATATGTGATATGGAAAAAACTGCACCCCTACATTTATTACCACTACAAATCCAAGAAATCTGAATTCAGTTTAGGTGTCAATTAGAACCTCCTTAGGGAGTATGCATGTAGAACTGGTCTTATTTAAATCTCAAGGTCTGGTGCTTTGCTGGCTATTAACATGTGTGGTGTCAACATGCCAGAATCAAAAGAGCATAAAGCTGTGGAAACAAACCAGTCAGGAAAAGGATTCAAAAACATGGAGAATGGTTTGAAATCAATAATTTCACTGTCCAAAAGCTGAGCTGCAATGAGTCCTTCAAAACAATAATGATATGAAGCACCATAGCAAATCCACCAAGAAGTGGCTCAAAAAATAAGAAATAGAGAGCTATGAAATGTCCTGATTTGATTCCCATTTGCATTTTGTGGGGGGAATTGGAAACTAGCAGTTTATACAAGGAAACACATAAACATCCTCCATTTGATGTAATTTTGCAATTGGTCAGAAAAATTTCATTGAGTTGATAACAGTCGATGACAGAGACTGGTGGGCAGTCATATACAATGCCTAGAGGGGTCAGTGACAACTTTTGATGCCAAGTCTGTACTACCTTTTTTACAGTTCATCTTTAGATCTATTGAAATGTTTAAAAAAAATTAATGAAAAGGAATGTTTTCTTACCTTTATATTCCATTTTATCACCTTTATCTGTGGGCAGGGTTTGAATAAAGATCTAACATTTCCTCCACACACTATACACTCAAAAATAATTTAAATGAAACAAAAATAATGCTTAGAAAAGAAACTTAGTGAAAATTGCAGTGCCCCCCCCCCCTTAAATTATTAGTTGTGATTTGTCCTCTTTCTTTGTTACATTGTTGGCTATTGGTGATGTACACCTCCCCTGTTACATTGATCACTAGTTGTAATGTCCCCCCAGCCCCTTCATCACACTGGTGGTTGGTGGTGAAGTGCCCTTCTCCATCTGTCACATTGGTGGCCTGTGGCGAGGTGCCCTAATTCATTGGTGCTCAATGGAGCTAAAATGGTATATGGTAAAGAAGGTTACTTACCAAAAAGAAGAGGCACTATGAGATGTGCTGCTGGCTTTTCTGAGTGACACTAGCACCAAACGAGGAAATCAATAAAACGCAAAAGTGCCCCTTGTTTGCAGAAAAAATAAATTGCCCATAGTTACACTTTAAGACTTATCTACCAGGACACCAGATCCTTCTCCATCATTGACTCCCTTAGTTGCATCCGGAACCACAAAAAAAAATATAAGAACATGAAATAACACAAAGTAACCAATGATGTATTTGCTGTAGTTTTTACTTATTCTAATATACAAACACATAGGTGTTGAAGTCCATATCGATGCAAATCTGACCACAAAAAAACATTTACAACTCTACCACTGCAGGTCAATCAATACATGCAAAGGAAAAATGTAATTAAGCTGAAAAAATATAGGAGAAAGGATAAAAGCTACCATTGGTCACTTTTACTTCTGCAAAGCTAGTTGCCTGGCTGTCAAGCTACTCCAGTGGCAATACATTTTTGACTCACTGACCAAGAACAAGTATGCAGGCTCAGGAGTTCTGTCATCATTCTGATTTTATTGAATTCATGATGAGAAATTTCAGAAAATCAGAATTAGAAGTAAAGGATCAGAATGACAGTCAAAAACAAAAACTAGCCTTTCAGAAGGTGGTCAGTAATGGCAGCCTGTACATGCCTCATACTGCAAGTTTCCTTGAAGTGTACAAAAACAACAGAACTGTGGCAGCAGGCTTATTTTTTGGCAATGTAGAGAAAAATAAAAGTTTGTCTCACTGGAAACAGATCATAAGGCATTTTACACATACTCTATAAAAACATTTATTGAAAAGAACTGCAGATTAAGACCCAAGCGCAAATGGATTGAAGATGCTGTGCAATAAAAGGCATTCCCTGCCATGGCTGGAAAGCAGAAGCACCTATTAATAAACAACCAGAATGTCATCCCAGAGGGCAGCAGATGAAATGGCTCTGTTGTAGTGCAGATTCAAAGAAGCGGTCCAGACTGGGCCCCATTTTCTCTTTGTGCCTTCCAAACAGGGAGACGTCATTGTATTTCTTCACAGTCGTACTTGAAATCTTGCAGTACTTCACTGATTGCTTCCACGGTTTTAATTATCCTAAGGGAACGGATGGGAGCTATAAATAATATACATCTGGCTTACATTACACACAATATAGAAGTTTAGGTAGTGTTTATGAAACACCCAGGATAACAGCCGCAGTGCTTGTTTAGAGCTGAGGTGCTTGAAAAGTGTTGTCATAGTGATATATATCAGTCATGATAATAATGAAAATAACCATTATCACTCATTTACTTTAACTTTTTTAATTCAGCATGCCACTTGGTAAAATAATACAGCATGAGTGTATTTTTTTTTTGCAGCCATTTAGAGCTTTTTTTTGTGCATAACATTGATGTCACACAGGACATTTCTAACTGTCAAGTGGTTTCTTACTATCACAATGTCGTCATTGTTATGTAGCAAATAAATTTGTGCCTTGAACTGAGGAAATATAGAAATTAACCAATGACTCAACCTCTTTCTTTATATGGTGAATGTCCAACTTTTTGGCCCTTTTTGGGTCTTACCAACATTCCTAAACTTGGCCGTACACATAGATTTCATCTAAAAGATTCCGCAAATGACACTGAACAGTGCAGATGGGTAAATCACCCACAGCAGCTATTGTATTTTGACAGCTGGCCCAGCCAGATATCAAAATAACCAAACAGCGACTGCATTTCATTGGATGCAAGCATTGTTCAGCTAATAATTTTCTGCCTGCCTCCTTCCATTTTTCAATCAAAGGATGTCAGGTAGGAGACAGCCATCAGGGCCACCCACTGAAAGAAAGTTTCTGATAAACTAGAAGAAATTGGGTCCATGTACAGTATGTCCAGTTTTAGGGTAAAGCGATGAAGATACAGTGCCTCGAAAAAGTATTCATACCCCTTGAAATTTTCCACATTTTGTCATGTTATAACCAAAAATGTAAATTTATTTTATTGGGATTTTATGTGATAAACCAACACAAAGTGGCACATAATTGTGAAGTGGAAGGAAAATGATAAAATGGTTTTCAAGATTTTTTACAAATAAATATCTGAAAAATGTGGTGTGCGTTTGGTATTCAGCCCCCCCTGAGTCAATACTTTGTAGAACCACCTTTCGCTGCAATTACAGCTACAAATCTTTTTGGGTATGTCTCTACCAGCTTTGCACATCTAAAGAGCAAAATTTTTGCCCATTCTTTGCAAAATAGCTCATGCTCTGTCAGACTGGATGGAGGGCATCTGTGAACATTAATTTTCATGTCTTGCCACAGATTCTCAATTAGATTTAGATCTGCACTTTGACTGGGCCATTCTAACACATGAATATGCTTTGAAGTAAACAATTCCATTGTAGCTCTGGCTGCATGTTTAGGGTTGTTGTCCTGCTGGAAGGTGAACCTAAGCCCCAGTCTCAAGTCTTTGGCAGACTTTCTTTAGGCCAGAAAGTTACATTTTGGTCTTGACCAGAGCACCTTCTTCCACATGTTTGCTGTGTCCCCCACATGGCTTCTCACAAACTGCAAACAGGACTTCTTATGGCTTTCTTTCAACAATGGCTTTCTTCTTGCCACTCTTCCATAAAGGCCAGATTTGTGGAGTGCACGATTAACAGTTATCCTGTGCTGTGGATCTCTGCAGCTCCTCCAGTTACCATTTGCCTCTTGGCGCCTTCTCTGATTAATGCTCTTCTTGCCCAGCCTGTCAGTTTAGGTGGACAGCCATGAATTGGTGGGTTTGCAGTTGTGCCATACTCTTTCCATTTTCAGATGATGGATTGAACAGTACTCTGTGAGATGTTCAAAGCTTGGGATATTTTTTTATAACCTAACCCTGCTTTAAACTTCCGCACAATTTTATCCCTGACCTGTCTGGTGTGTTCCTTGGCCTTCATGATGCTGTTTGTTCACTAATGTTTTCTAACAAACCTCTGAGGGATTCACAGAACAGCTGTATTTATACTGAAATTAAATTACACACAAGTGGACTCTACTAATTAGGTGACTTCTGAAGGTAATTAGTTTCATTAGATTTTAGTTAGGGGTATCAGAGTAAAAGGAGCTGAATACAAATGCACGCCACACTTTTCCGATATTTGCAAAAAATTTTGAAAACCATTTATTATTTTCCTTCCACTTCACAATTATGTGCCACTTTGTGTTGGTCTATCACATACATTTAAATTTTGGTTGTAACATGACAAAATGTGGAAAATTTCAAGGAGTATGAATACTCTTTCAAGACAATATAGGATGCTCATAGACCAAATGGACATCGCCGGTGACTGCATTTTCTTCCCAATTTTTTCCAGGTGCCGATGTTTGGTCTTGGAAAATCAGTCGCAGGAGTACAGTCATCCTTGCACACAGGCAGTATACTAGAATGTAAGCAGAGCTGTGCATAGGATTGCAAGCAGGCAGCTGTTTTTTTAATTGCAGAACAATGCATGTCTCTGTTTGCATTTTTTTTAGGCTTTAGTTCTACTTTAAAAGAGAACCTAATCCCAGACCGTGCACATTTAAGAATCTACATATTTCTTGGAGTACATCATGGGACACTGAGCAGGCTATAATCATTACTATCTGGGTTATGAACCTCCTATAGGTGAATGGACACTGGCAGACCAAAAGCAGACAGGAAGTGTTCCGCTATATAACCCTCCCATACAGGAAGTCCCTAGTTTTGTAGCAAGCAATGAACTCCCAGAAAGTGGGGAGGGACCTCTGTGTCCTGTGATGTACTCCAAGAAATGGATTTTACAGATAAATAGAACAAAATCCAGTTTTCTTTATCGTACATCATGGGACATAGAGCAGGCTATAATCATTACTATCTGGTATGTTCCAAAGCAATGCACTTGAGGGGAGGGAGACATAGACAAAAAAAACATCAACAATCCTAAGGAACATACACTTCTGTCCGCAACACGTTGCTGTCAAAAGCAGTATCCCACATCCACTTGGTAAAACCTGGCAAAGGCATGTACCAAAGACCATGTAGCGACCTTGCAGACCTGAGCCACTGACGCTTGATGACGACTAAGACAAGGTGCTCCCACGCTCCTGGTAGAGTGCATTTTTACCCAAAAGGGGGAATCATATCCTTCAAGCAAGGCACTTGAGTGATTAACTGGTGTATCGACTGCGAATTAGCTGCCTTAGATGCCGCCTGACCCTTCTGGTAGAAAAAACAATCAAGTCTGACTGCCTGATCTGTGCATATAACCTTAAATAAATTCTGACAGCCAGAGCCACATCCAAAATTTGAAGAGCTTCCTCTCCTGGTAACTGCAGAAAAAAAGGGTCAGATAATGTTCTGATTCAAAAGAAAACTTGAACAGGAGCCAGGCGCTGTGTAGTTTTATGATAAAAGTAATACACCTTATATGGAGGTGTACCTTTAATAATTCATATGGTATAAAATAGATAACCAGCCTGTGGCCTTAAGAAGCCAGGTTCCAAGATAGACGGCCCGTCCACTCAGAGGGAAGCAGTGGAGAGTATGAGACATGATAAAGCGCATGCGTGCGAAACATGTTGTCCCGGCAACTAGCCTCTTCCTTCTAAAGCTGTGGCTCCAGCGAGAGTTCCCCCCCTCCATCTGTCCACATTGTGGTGATGTCACCCGAGACGTCGGATACACATGGTCCCTGCACTGACAGGCATTCTACTCTCCACTGCTTCCCTCTGAGCGGACGGGCCGTCCATCTTGGAACCTGGCTTCTTAAAGCCACAGGCTGTTTATCTATTTTTACCATATGAATTATGAAAGGCACACCTCCATATAAGGTGTATTACTTTTATCACAAAACTACATAGCGCTTGGCTCCTGTTCATACTTTCTACAAACCAAAGTGTTTTTACCATGGCAGCAGTGAGTTTTTTCCCCACTAATCACAGGTGACATACACCATTCACTTATTTCCTTTGGGACACATCTGTGCGCTTTTATCCAGACCGTTCTTCCAAAAGAAAACTTGAAACCACCTTCAGGAAAGAGATGGATGAGGCCAAAAACACCCCTTTATCATTATGAAGGACCCAAAATAAATGGCTACTTACACAAAAGAGATGCCAGCTCTCATTCCCTTATCAAAGTGATCACAATCAAAAATAAAGTAAAAACCACCTTCTGAGTCAATAAGACTAACAGAATATCAAAAACTAGATCAAAAGCAGGTTCCTGCAAAACAGCCAAAACCAAATTCAAATTCCAAGGATGTTTAACAGGCAGAACCATGTTTGACACCCCTTAAGGAAGGAATTAAACAACAAATGAAAAGCAATCGGCCTCTGGAAAAACAGATTGAGCAGATAACTGGCCTTTAACTGAACTTAAAGGTATATTTATCTCTACTCTTGTATAGAAAAGGCCACAATTCAATCAAATCTTCCAAGGATGCCACTTCCTGGCTTCACACCGGGACACATAAGACTTCCAAGTTATATAGTAACTCCTCCTGGATGCCGTTTTCCTTCAACAGAGTAGAGATAACCAGTCCAGAGACACCCAATCTTTCAGCACCTGGGCTTCAATAGCCAGGCCGTCATTGCTCAAGTGCCGTCAGCCGCCAACTTCACTAAGTCCACCTTGTCGTGGATGTCAGGAAATTACTCACCTTCTCTTGGGCAGCCTGACTCTAGTGCGGCCCTTCTTATTGATACATGCCACCGCCGTGACATTGTTGGAATGAAGATTAACTGATAAAACCTGCAACCAGTTTGTCCAGTGATCCAGTGCAAACCGAACAGCCCGAAAATCCAAAATATTAGTGGTCAAAACGCATTTCCTAAGGAGACCAAGATCCCTATACTGAGGCAGGTACCCAAATGGCTCCCCAACCCGACTGGCTGGCATTGATAGACATTATTCACCAGACTACTGGAAGGGAAGACTCCCCCCTGTTCAGGTTCTGAGGAACCATCCACCAGTCTAATGCCCATGACACAATGGGAGCTAGAGACCTATGGCAATCCAGACACTGAACCTTCATATGGACAAGATATCCCTTTGTAATAGCCTGAAGTGAAACAGCATATGGAACGGCCTTGAACACCATCATTC